TTCTTATCACCGGATTCTTCATTTGTACTAATAAGCATTACATTAGGGAATTAGTTTGATATAAATATAGATAAGAAAAAAATAATTAACAGCTAATGAGTCGGCGAACTTTATTTACTTTAGCTAATTTCTGGTCTGTAGCTCAGATTTGTAAGGTATATACGTTATTAAACGAATAATCAACACATTTTGTCTATTTCCACCCAATAAAGGTAAAATAAGCGTCAGTGATTTTTCTTAATTTAGTGCATTAATCAATTTCATGGATGTCCAAGTTATCAAATTATTTTGTCTATTTGTTGGGTTTTAAAAAATAATACGCGATTAAAACTGAGGAAATATGAGTTTTAAATGTTGTTTTATTTAAAATATCGAATATAAAAATTAATATACAATAGATTTTAATACATAAATTGTTATATTTAGCACGTTTACAATCAAGTATTCATTTAATTTATTTAGCTGGATTAAATAACATAAGATAACTCATAAACTAGTATCCTATTTCACTTCGAATATCAGCAGATCTGCAGACATTACAAAGATAAAAAGTCACGTGATGTCTAATTACTAAGACTGTGTCAACCACGGGACATGATATTCGGTTGTTGTATAAACCACAAGGACAGAAGTATTCTATTTTATCTGTGTAATTCAGTTATCTTCCGTTTAATGTAATAAAGAAATGAATGGAGTGTTAACAAATAAATTTGTTTTAATATTTAAATCCGAGTAGAAAATTAAGTACATTTACATAGAGCATAATTTGAATTATTGGAATAACAATGGACAAGATGACAGACACTTGGAGTGTATATTAAGTAAGTCGTATCGTTTATATAACAATTGCAATTTTTTATCTGTATAATTCTTGTTCTTTTACCTATTTTAATACAAATTATATTGATATCTTGATTCAAGATTCTAAAAAAAAAACCAAAAAACATTGAATGATAATTTGTGAGAAAAATTGGATTAACGAAAATGGGCAATGTGTTTTGATTTTTATGAAAAAATATAATAGAATGTGCTATAACATAATATAAAATAATAGAATAGAATATGCTCTAATATAGATATAAAATATATTATAAGATAACAAAATATAATAGAATAAGGCAAATTATGACGACATAAAAAAAATAGAATTAAAAAAGATATAAAAGAAAATTGCTTTTATTAAAGTAGTGAGTGTATCACGTCTTCATACTATAATGCAGAGTTAATAAATGCAATTCCTTTAAATAGGGACTTTGGCGGAAGCTTTCCAGCTAGCTAAAGGAACGTCTGTGGTTCTATTCAGGTGAAATAATTATTGCATCTAAAGAAGGACTGTTAAGCACTTTATGATATCAGTACTTTTAATATATTAAATTTTAGCAAAATACATTTTTAAGTAAGTCGGATAAAACATATATCGTTATATAAAAATAAACAAACAACAAGCAATATATATCTCAATACATTATCAGATACTAGTACTTTAATCATCTTCTAAACTCAAAACAGCCAATGAGAGAAAAATAAAAGTAAAAGAGATGAACGTAATAAAATGAAAATGATTTACCCCGGGAAATACGTTAAAATAAAATTTGACAGCCCCAATCCAAAAAAACTACTTTGGGACGTTTAGAAAACCCATTAAAAAGGGGAAATTTATATTTTTTAAAATTTTTTTCCCAAAAAAGAAGTTTTGGGACACTATTTTGTTTTTACTGTTTATATGTTTCTAATGTTTTTTAAATGGGGGGCATTTAAGATTCCCAAAAAACCCCTTTTTTTTAAATTAAATTTTTTCAACTGTCTAAAAAAACAGTAAAGAAATTTAAACCCATTGTCCCACATCTGGGGTAAACCCCTTTGTAAGAAAAAACCCTCGTTTGGACTCGGGCCCAAATTGTTCCAGTGGGCCTTTTAATATAAAATTAGCAATAAAACCCTTTTTAAACAAAGTTTTTCCCGGGACTATTGATGAACAGTTAATGACACTGGAAAAGACGATGTCATATAAATGTAAAGTAATAAAATGAATAATGATGTGAAATAATAACACTGATGACGGGGTATTAGATACAAATTCTCATCTGAATTTGGTCAATAAACCCTGCAATAACTTGCAACATAAACAGTTTTCATTCTATTATTTACTGTGCACGGTTTTTCGACAAAAGACCGGACACTTATATATTTCATATGTTTCTGTTGTGGATTGCATTCTTCTGTTTTTATTTAGTTATTAATGGTGAACGGTGTAGTTTCTGGTTTCATATTGCTGAATTTGGGGGTATTTTTTGTCTTGTTTCTTACGTTTGCGTAAAGTTCCATAAAACGGATCCAATGTGCTTTTTAATTGGTTTAAACAGCAGTATTTATTTCATATAATACAAACATTTACAATTATGATACAACAACATTATATAAACAGGATTGAAAAGGAAGTCAAAGACTTATGTAGATTTCTTTCCTGTAAATTGTAAAAATAAAGCAAATTATAATGTAACAACACGTACAAGTACACTAGTTACTAACATTAAATAATTTCATAAGTAATGAAAATACAACAAACGACGAAAAAAGTGATAATTACAACTAATGTGCGATTATATATCAAAAGGGTACGGAAGGGAAAAAAGCTCGATCTTAAGTCTGAACAAATATTTTCTACATTTTGATGTTTAAACTATGAACACTCAAGAATTATAGTAAAGAAGAAGGATATATAGAAGGAGATTTATAGGACTCAGAGAACGAGATGTTGCCATTGTCTTTGAAAGGGATGATAGGTCAGTTTTGCACAACAAATGTCTGTGATAGTTTTTTTATATAAGAAAAGGAATTTTAACTTATGTGTCAATATAAATTAGATTAGATTTGTTTAGATTTGTATTTTCTAATTAAAAACAGACTGTTTGTAAATAAACTTGTTGTTGGTGTGTGCGAACCTTGGACAAGGAAACTTCTATGCCCCCTCTAATTTGTTGTTACAGTACTGTATTAAGAATATTGTATCTAACAGCACTAACAGTACTTATTTGTGCAATAGTAATATATATTTAAGATATTTTAGATAATTATTAGACGAAGAAATGCTGTTTTCTGATGAAGACGAATTTTCAGTTTAAATCGTTGTTCATATACTGTCATTATTTATATACATGTAGTTTCTTTCTTTGCATTTATAAATGACGTTTATTGATAGTAGCATATATACAGATATGGTCACATGATAATGTATGGGGGGAATTAAAAACGAAATTAAAATATAAGATAAAACTTCCTTTTGGGATATCAATATCAAATTAAAAACAAAAATCAACATTACCATAATGCACCGGCTTGATATTATCTCTAACCCAATAAAATAAAGTGCATCAACTATTCAGGGCGCAATATATTCCGTAAAATAAATCAACCTAATCACCCTAGATAAGAGCACTTATGTCAAAAGTTAAAAATTGCATTTATCCCCCCCCCATCATTTCACGTAGTTATATTGTTTTTAAAAAGACAGAAAATAACTATATTTAAATATCGTTAAATACACAACGCTGGTAACATAAAGTAATTATCATTTGCTGTTAATGTTGATTAAAGCATAGCTTTTGATAGACCAAAAATCGACATATTTGACCAGTTTCCGTCATCTATTATAGAGTTTAGTTTAGTTTATTGTCTCATTCCAAGCATGTCATATATACAATAGTAACAATACATCACAATATTCAATCATACTAAAATACATGTTGGACCAATCACGATAGATTTATAAGAGTCATTTAAAAACACGAAGACACTAGTAAAATATATTCTATAACTAAAAACAAATTTACTTTATAGCCAAGTTAAATAATTATACAACAGACATTTTTGCTTATTCCTTCGTGAAAAATCAATATACTTCAAAAATAATGCCCAGATTATTTGTGACAATACTACTGCAATAAACTTGTTATGTTAATGAGGCTAAATAGTCACCATGTTCATACAAAAGCGTAAGTTTAGTGCTGCATACATGTACCTAGCATTGCTGTATAATTATAATTATGCAGTAAAAGAGTAATGATGTTCCAAAATGAATGAGTATATCATGGAGTATAAGGTGTGTAACCCAACTTAACTGTGAAAGGTGTATGACCTAATATATTCCAATAAGTACATGATATTGCTAAATATGTGACCAAATAAGTACATGATTGAACATTGTATGTAACCCAATGTACAGAATTGTGCATGATGTGTGACCCAATAATTACATGATTGAACATGGTATGTGACCCAATAAGTACAAGATTGTACATGATGCATAACCAAATAAGTACATGAATGAACATGGTGCGTGAAAGGACATTATTCTGCACACCAATGTTGATAGTATAATGAATAATATTAACAATAATTGGTTGGTTGAATATATTTCACTGTCTAGGGTGATCGCCTAACAGCATGATACATTTGTGTGCCAGTGTAGATAAAATTTGTAGGGTACAAACAAACTGAACTAAAATCAGCCTTCAAATCAACCATTTAGATCAAGCTTATACACAATATGTCTTAGTATTCAATGTCGATACACTGTGTCAATGTACTGCTATATCATATCTATTAAGATTACATAAGCACAAAGAGCAACGATCATCAGGGTCAATTTGCCTGCATGCATACAGAAACAAACAAAGGGAAACGGATAATGAGTGGTCATTAGAAGGGATTTTTGTTATTCCCCCAGATTTGAAAATAAATTTAATGAACTATTATATGCGTAAGTTCGTAGAGTCCCTGATAGGTTATTTAGCGAAAAATTGGGTTATACCTAAGGTTTTATTTGAGCTTCTCATTTTCGCAAAAACATCCCGTCTGCCCGTCTGCTACAATGAATCTTAAGCGAAAGACGCCATTTAATACTTATGAAGGAAAAGTGTTTTTTTTTCTTCTTCTTGTTGTTGTTGTAATTCGTATGAAGTATAGTTTACAACATAAAACACAATGATTTTTTGTTCCAGATTCATCATGAATAACACAAGCAGTATCCACTCTGAAGAAATGATGAGTTGTAATAGTTCTAATATGACCAACCCATTTATGTGCATGAGCACCACTCAGATTCTCCAGATAACTGCGCCACAAATTATCCTTATCGATAGGATTATCTCCCCTATCTGGTACATTATCGGTCTAATCGGGAATCCAATTTCAGCCGTAATCTGGCTGTCCAGGTAAGTCACTGTATTGTTTATAAAAACGACTTAAAAAACGAATAAATTTTACAAGTTTTTGCATAAGTTACATACTGTATTACTACATATACACCTTTGACTGATTACTGCAATTCTAAAATCATCATGCTTCGTGTAAAAGTAAATCATGTGAAAGTACAATTTATTTGTTGAAATGCGCCTTGGACTAACACATATCTGATAAATTATTTAAGTAGAAATATACAAATGTATATACCCGTTATAACCTTGGCAGCACACATGCTTGGAATTCTAACGAAAGTTAGAAATGAATAACAAGTTTATCTTCAAGAAAATTCGGGATATTTCCGTTAATTCTTGACAGCTATTTATTGGACAAATTCTTAAAAATTCAACCTATTGCATGTCTTAAATGAACCTGCCCGGCTCCCATTAATTAGACGGTTTTGAAGATATCAAGCATTGTCAGATTTCATGGCAAGATTGGTTCTATACTGCGTATCACTTCCGGTTCAATCAGTATCACTTCCGGTTCAGTCATTATCACTTCCGGTCCAATCAGTATCACTTCCGGTTCAATCAGTATCACTTCCGGTTCAGTCAGTATCACTTCCGGTTCAGTCAGTATCACTTTCGGTTCAAACAGTTTATGGGTTAAAGCCTACCTTCGCAAAAAAAAACAATGAAAAGCTTTGGTCATTCCGTCGGAAACATCAAACAAACAATCATAAGGTTTAAGTATCGCTTTCTTCAGAGGATATGGCTGACACCATTACGTTATGTCAGCATTTTTGCAACCCCTCACTTGTTTTTTTACAATTTATCTAACTATTATGACAGGTTAATATAGACAATATACACATATATCCGACTAGTTGGCAAATATATTATGACGGTAATGAGTTTATTATATTTGAAACATGATATTTAACCCTTCATTCAGCTAGACAGTTTGAGTAGTTATAAGGATTGTGCTAGTTTTGTTATTAGGTAAACAATGTAGATATCAATCATGTCACGAGATGACATCTGCAGTTATAAGTTAAAACTCTTAATAAAGACCTACATAAAACCTAATGGTTATCATATATCCTTTTACAGAAGATGAAGTGCTTACATACATGTACCTGTTATGCACATGTCAACATATACCACTTTTTAGAAAACTTCTACTTCATAAAAACAATTCTAATATATAGAGCATAAAAATACATTGTCATTTAAATAAATTCATATTGCGCCTAAGTTAACAATATGATAAACAGCTTCGATAATTTCATTTCAAAGCAAAGAGTATTTTTTCCGACTTAAAATTAATACGTTAATAACTTAGCGAATTATCGAAAAAAAATGTTTTAAAATTTCTCTTATAAAAACTTAACGTACATGTATATGTAATGTAAACATGAACAAATGTTAACCTGAAACTGTCTAAAGGGACTTCGTGGTTTGCTGGTTTTTTGGTGTGTGTTTTTCACTAAGATGTTCAAATGTTGAAAGTATAAAAGCATACACCATCAATTAAATTATGAAGGAAAGTCGATATCTCTGATGTTTTTATTGTCTGAAATTTTCATACATTTTTCTAATGTAATACGATGTCCATAATTTGATTTTCAAATTAACTGCATCAGAGGCTTGACTCTTCAGACAGCTGTGTAATACTGTCAAACTACACAAGAAAAATATATATAATCTATTTTGATAAAAAGATCCACTCAGAGATTCGTCGTTATAGCCTACGTTCTTACGTTTTGAAATATTTATTTGTAAAAGAAGCTAAAAGCTTTATTGAAACACTCTCGAATCCGTTCCTGGAACCAACCAGTAGTAAGCAATGATTGTAACGGGTTTGAACCCACGCGGTCAGCAATCCTTAGCTTTCTAGTCCAACACATTAACTACATGGCCACACCGCCACTGTTTTTGATATGTTTGAATGTCTTTTTATCTGTTGCACTATGTTATAAACAAAAATGTAGAAGCAAACAATCTCTTGTATCAGATAGATATATATGAAATGTACACAGGCCACTTAAAAGAAGTAATTTTTACACTGATGCGAAGTTATCTTTTATAACAGAAACAAGCATTTTCATTTTTACTTACCGGGAAAGAAAATAATTATTTTTCTTCCAAGTTATTATAGACAAGGCAGTTTTGATTTTCTATTTTTTCCTGCCGTATTCAATATGTTTTGAACTGTCATACTATTTCTTAGAATATCCATATTCTACATTTGTCAGTTTACGCCAACGTTTTCATTATTGTTTTTGATTATTCGATTTTCTAATAGTTTTCCCTAAATCAGCATTAATAAAATTGGACTTGTAAACCGATCTTTATTTGATAGAAAATATTTGTATGCTATAACGTTAATGCGTAATCAATTATACAGTTATATTGTATAAATACTGTACAATATTTCCGACGCGATGACATATTGGAAAATAATATCAAAATGCTCTTAATGATTTATTTACATTATGAAAATCGAAATATTTGTCATATTAACGAGAGAAATTTACAATTTTTATATTGCAATTTATCTAATTAATCAATATAAGTAGACAGTTTGAAGCTACGGTTAAGTCATCGCTTCATACTTATTATATCATTTTATTTCTTTTTCTGTAATGCTATGTATTTTATAGGAAAGTGTGCAAGACAAATTCATCCGCTGTGTACTTTGGTTCCCTTGCAATAGTAGAGACGATATATCTTGTTCTACACTTCATAAAAGAACTACAGTTTGCCTGGGGTGTAACCACATTTGGCATGAAAACAACATGTGAACTATTCAACTTCCTGCAAATTACTCCACAATATCTGGTAAAAGACTTTCTTTAACTAAGCCATAATGATTTATATCACGCCAACTACAAAATGATTTTCTCTCATTGGATGTTTTGCAGCCACGTGATGACCTAATATAATCCAATATAACGCTAAATATGCACAAACATAAAAATGACGTCCACATTTTAACCTAAGGAAGGTAGTCAGTGTGATATAATCTTTCAGCTTATTGAACATATAATTCAGTAAGACAAGAGCAATGTCGGGAGATTTCTTCATATTGACATCTCTACAGTTCTGTATTCAAAGTATAAAAACTTAGATATTATGGTAGATTGAATAAATATTATTTATTAAAGAGGCATTCAAAATCTTGGCGTGTTGTTATTATAAAAAAAAGTCAAACACGTTGCTGGCCCGTCTTTGGTTTCTACTACATGACTACAGTTTAATAAACATTTATTTCTCATTACAGGTTCCAATGCTGGTTCTCGGCTTCACAACAGAACGTTATATAGCTGTATGTCACCCGTTCGTGAAAGAGAAATACTGTACAGTTACTCGTGCTAAAATTGTTATCATATGTATGTCCGCTCTTTCAATAGCGATTGGGCTTTTTCAGATTTACGTTTGGGCTTGGAATGATGAAATTGGATGCGTGTTTAGGCCGAATACTGAACAATTCAACACAATTTGGACTTGGCTAACAGAAATGTTAATATTTGGTTTTATTCCGGTGTCTTGCCTCATTATAAATATTCTTGTCATCATGGAAATCAGACGCTTGTCAGCTCAAAGTGCTGCGCATGGGCAAGGCCCGACTTCCGGTAATGCAGCTTCAACTACAACATTACTGTGTGTTTCTTTCTATTTTATATTCACATTGTTGCCAGCTACAGTAGTGTACGCCATGCAGTCATCCATACCACAAGGTGACGTCAGTTTGCCAATCAACACCTGGTCTGATGATCCCGTTTGGAGTGGATATTTCTCTTATTTGACAATAAGGTACATTGTTGAAGAAATTTGTTTGTCAAATTACGCTACATATTTTATCATATACTACGCTACCGGTGTATATTTCAGACGAGAATTTAGAAATCTGTTTGGATTACAGAAAAAGAGAAAGGGTAAAGGTGTGAGCAATCGAAGTATGATGTCAGATTATAGTATAGTCCATTCAAATGGAAGAAACACATCTTGCACAGAGACAATGCTTGTCGACTCTCCCAGTGACACGTGATCATTGAAGAAATTCGAAGAGATCACATTCGATGTTGGATACAAGTGACAAGGTTGTATTTTCTGTCGACAAGCGGCATCTGGTGTTTGTGAAATGTAATATCTGCGCACCATCTTTTACTAACGATAATGGAAGTGCGGAGTGTTATTCACATTAATTCCCAAAACGAGGACGTAGGGGTATAAAAGCAGATGATATTAGGAAAATACTCATAATTTAAAAATTATATGATTTTAAGGTTTGTTTTTCATTTTAAGAAAAACTGCATTATTTAACTGTAGTGTCCAGAGTGCCTGGCAAATGTTGTTAGTAGAGTTTGCATTAAAAACATCACGGCTTTCTGTTACGTGAATGCATATATGTCGAAAGAAAAAAAGTCATCTCTAAAACAAACAGAAAACTAATCTAAATTAGTGTTGTGAGAGATTTTCAAAAGGTCTGGACCCTGTTCGAAAGGTAGCTACAAAACAATTATCTTGAACTTGAGGAGAACTTGTATATATTCATATTCATGTAAATTTTGTTTGTATATGTGGGAACTTCTTCTGATTTTTGAGGGTTGGATTATAAATCGTTCTATAATATCCTATATTTTGAATATTGTGTAATCTGTTTATTATATATTGTAACAGTAGATCTATATTTGTATTTATGAAATGTGCAATAATGAGGCATAGAGTCATTTATTAAGATGTTATTATATGTTTACACGTTAACCTTATTAAGGACGAAATATTCTAAATGTATATGGATGACTTTACGTTTAGAAAAAACTGTAAAATAGGATATATGCTAGAATAATATATAATATTACTAAATGTTTCCGTAGAAACAAATTTATACACCCTAACCATTTCCTCGGGCGTGATTTTCTTCATTTTGAAATAAGAATTTCAGGTTTGTCCTGAGCATAACTCAGTCACTATAGGTCTGATTGTATGCATGCTTCTTTCAATGACTTGAAGAGCAGTGCACAAGAATCATTACCATGCACGTCTTTTTTTAGTTATTTCCCATTCTTACATTTCATACTATATTTTTGTCCGGTCCAATTTCTCCTACACTAGATATTGGCTTGAAACTTCATGGGATAACGGATCTCATTGACAAAAACTTGCACTCTGCACTTCATGGGTTTTTAGTTATTGTCCTTTTTTAAATTTCCATATACTTAAGCTTGTCCAGATTATAACTTGGTCACTTTAAGTTTGATTGACTCCAAATTTGGTATGCAAGCTTTTTTCATTGACATAACATGCAGTGCACAGAATCCATCACAGAGTCCTCCATTTGAGCTGTCAGTGTAAAACTTTTCCATGGTATTTTAATATTTTTGATAATACAACAGTTTGACTAATCCTGACATAACATTTTTACAGTTCAAATGCCAGTAAAATAAAGGTACATGTATATTGCAAAGAGCAGTTTTTATAAATAACCTATATTTTAAGAAGAAATGTCTAACAGCTATACTGTTGACAAGACGACACATTGGACTCGTGGAGTTCTAGTTGAACTTACAAATACTTTTATACGTCTACGGTGTATTCTGCTAGAACAGGGCCATTCGAGATGAGGTGGCATTGAACATGTTCTTTCTGGTAAAATTCTAAGAGCAAAGAACACTACAAGATTCAAACTATACTTGAAACAAGCATAGCGATATATGATATTACATTTGTAACATTATACCACCCAACCTTTGTATATAAATAATAATTGATATTCTTTTATATATTCGACCAATGTATTTATGCGTATAATGCATAGTATTGAATAATGTCTACTGACCGTAATGCGTGACGACAAAAGGTAAGGGGTTATGGTCAACATAACGCATGTTAGAGTTGATTAGATTTTTTTCTGATTGCATGGAAAAACAAATTCTCCGTGTCTAATGATAGATAGAATCTAGTGATTTTCACTTAATCACATGACGTCAGTTGTTTTCAATGTAATAAAAGTACATTAAACAATCGTTGC